TGTAAAATTATTTTGAAAACATTTATTGGAGAATAATTCCTTCTTGGGATGTGATTCAGAAGAATCTTAAAAAACAAGTTTCGACTTTTTCATGGCGATATTGAATTTTTTAAATCTTATCTTACCGTTAAAGTCGCCGAACGAAACAACATCCGTATTGTCTCCATGTTAATCAGCAATATATTGAAATCTGATTTGGGATTAAATAAGAAAAAATGTTTTTTTTTTAATATTTAGGTTTATTGCTCAACCTAGTTTTGTTTTCGAGTCGCACAGTATAGTTCTCTAAGTGCAGAGAATGCGGTGGGTGTGATAGCACTTCAAGTTTTATTTCATACAATTTTACAATCGACTTGTGTTACGATGAATTTGTTTCATTGTACAAAGCTCTTTCGACCAGCACCATTCCTTGTTTTTTCCTTGACAAAAGTGACGTCACCAAAACAAGATTCAGATTTTCTAAAAATTAAATGAATTGTCTTCTTTTTTTTTTTTTTTTTTTTTTTTTTTTTTGGAGGCGTCATCTGTACACATCAGTTCCGCAAATTATTGATCGATTTGTTAATATTAACATAAACGAAAAATTGCTACTGAGGGGAGTTACGCACAGCTTTGGATATAAAATAATTTGTCGGATACTATTTAAAAACCATCGCATATGAAAGTGTGTATAGAAAATGTATAAAATGAAATATAAATTCATTTAATAAAAGCTTCAATTAAAATGTTGCAATTATAATGTTTGAATAAGCGACCCCGTGTAATTGTCCTCTTCACCTTAAGAGTAAATATAAAAAATTACGCATATAATTAAAATGAAACCTTTTTTCAAATGGTATCAAAGAATGTCTATCAGCACGAACACGAAGCAAACAACTTTTGCATAAAACATATTACACTCACACCCTTGTATTCACATCCATTATGCATTATTATTATTATTATTATTATTATTATTATTATTATTATTATTATTGTCATTATTATTATTATTATTATTATTATTATATTTTGCTATTATTTATTCATACGTTTGACTTTAACAAAAACTTTTAATTAATTTCTTTACACTCGCCATTAAAGTCTTTCATAATAATAAACAAAAAAAAAAAAAAAAAAACAAAAAAACAAAAACAAACAAATATAAAAATAAATAAACAGCCCTTAGCGTATATTACTGTTTGGACTTCTTGCAGGTGTTCGTTACAATACATATAATGATGATGACGATGATTTTGTCAGAAATGCAAGAATATAAACTTTACTAACTGCAAACTTACGCTTCGATACGCTTACAAACGAACCGAATACGGGTGAAGTGTGCCAAAAAGAAAAATAACTTGCAAGTAAAGTTTTTCTTCTTTTCCTATGCACAACACACAAAGTTATAAGTTCTTCCTAATACAACCTAACATAAACGAATTGGACAAAATGTTAACTAAATAAACTAAAAAATAATAAACTTCGCTATTGAGTAAGAAAACAGTGCATTGTCTACATTTGTGACATTCTTACACCATTTTGTAAACAAGTTGTTAACTTTTTCATTTAGCTTCTCGTACTTGAGTATCTTCGCTCCCTAGTGTTAAAAAACAACATGAAAGTGTTTTGATAACAAAGAAGGAAAAAGTTACATTAATACTGTGACTGGCCCATGCCTCACATCTTATCTATATATATTTATATATATTATGTATAGCGTTAATCCTCTCATAAATTTCTTAGTTTGTTTGAACGACAAGCGCAGACATCTACAATTATTATAGGGATTGCCTTATTGTTTCGTTTGACCCCCCCCCATTCTAGAACCGAGCAAACAAAAATGGGCTCAATTAGCCACCGTGTAGATGACCACTTCAGCATATCGGGCAATTTCGTGTTTTCAAAGACTTTGGTCTTGGAAGAGAGCAACAACTAATTTCATCTTTTTTTTTTTTTTTTTTTTTTTTTTTTCTTTATAAATAAAAAATTGCATCATATCTCACTCTTCTCGTCTTTGTCTCTTTCTTTACTTCGAGTTATTACTGAATGTTCTCAGCAATTAAAAAAAACCGTTACATTACGTTTGCAGCATTTTCCTTATTTACGTTATCCGTACTAGACATGTAAATATGAAACCGGAATTTTCTCATAGATAGCTCAGCTCAGTAAAGGACGTACATGTCTGAAGTTACGTTTTTCTGTACCTTTGATATCTGACAACAATATTAAGTCATAATACCAATACTATATCCCACAAAAATACTTCATCTAACAACGCAATTGTCGAGCTTCGTGCCAAAGAAAGATTACTTGCATACGATTAAAGGGGATGAAGAGCGAATTTATTTGGGGAATTCTAAGAGCAAAAATTCATGATTGGAAACCGTATCGCTAGGGCAAGGCGGCGATACATGAAAAGTCATCTGGCTGTAAAAGTCCCAGGCGATAATATGAATCCGTTGATCCGATCCGGACTATTTTGAATAGCGTTTGCTTTTGGGCGAAACCACGTCAGTGTACCACATCGTACAAACATATCTCAATAATTGTGTTCTGAAAGAAGCAAACAAGATAGATAGATGGACAGATGGACAAACACGTTTAAATCATAGCCGAAATTCATTCTGAATCGATCGATGCGATAAAATATGGTGTCTTGCGTATCGCGTACATACGCGCACAAACTTAATATACCCTCTCACCATAAGTGGGGTTGCGCATAATTAGATATCTATACATATCGATTGCTTTAACAAAAGGTTATATGCTAAGTGTATTGTCCTCTTTACGTTCGTTAAAATGTCTCCTATAGTTCGCTGCCGGTGCATCTCATTTCACTAACGAACAGTGGTCCATTAACACACTCATAAATCCATTTTCCCTAATATTTCTGCTTCATATTTGCCATTACATGATGAGATCGTTCTCCGTGTTCATCACGTACTGTTGCGTTGTTTGCCAAAACAATTTACTTCCACCATTCTAAAGAAAAACTTGGGGAGCTTCTCCCTTCTCCGCCGGGTTAAAGGTCAACAAAAACGCGCTCTTCGCGCATGAAAAATTTTTCGCCAGATCATTGAAACATCACACGTCATTGAACATAGTCGACCGTTTACCCAATTACGAGGAGTGTTCGCGAAATTCTTATAACATATGTGAGGTGCACAGCCTTCACCATAATCACCACTTAGGTATATAGGCGTTATATGATTATGGTATTATGAAGTATACATTATTATCCGTATTAAAGAAGTATCGAAATCGCAGCTAACAGGTGTTTTTATGAGCCGATCATATTGACTACGGATGCGTTAGCGTTATCAGAATGATGGAAATTTAGGAAAGACGAGTATCGCTAACGAGACTTGTATACCAGATATTGTCTAAAATGTCAGTAAACTTTCGCCTTTTAAAATTCGTTGTTGTTAAATTAATTGATTTTTATTATAATCTTTTTTCTTCATTTTTTTCTTACGATTCAATTAAATTTCTTGTATGTAATACTGTAAACAAGCAATACGTTATTCATACTCACTGGAGTGAAGTTGAAGTTACATTTTATAACAAATGGAAATACGAGTCATTGCAAGCAAAATATATATATATATATTTGCTTAGCGTAATGGGTGTTATTTTCCTTTTGTGCAAATCAAAAAATTTATTCAACTAAAGAAAGTCTAAATATCTTGAAGAAATACCAAAAAATAAACTTCTCTTTGGAAAGTAAAGTATTTGTATAAAATTAATTATACCGCAAGGAAGAAAAGAAAAAGAAAAAGAAAAAGAAAAAGAAAAGAAAAA